TAGAATAAGAATTAGCCTTCAGCGCCATCTCTCGAGCACGAAGCGAACTATCATAAATTATAAACTCTGGATAAAGTATGATAAGAATTGAATATCAACGCCATCTTATGAACCATCTTCCTTTAAGAGATATCTTTGATATTCAAGAAATGGCGCTAGTGATCAATTCTTATACTATTTCTATCCTTCTTTCATTATTTTCTGTCCTTTTTACACTAGTTTCATTTGCGGCACTCTGAAGATGGCGCTGATTTCAAAATTTTTATTCTATCTCTGTCTTTGTCCCACTATTTATTCTCCTTGTCTAACTTATTGATCTTAAAATTTTTAACAAAGCCTATTCGATCCAAATTTTTCCTTTTAAGTTTTATTCTATTTCATGAAAATCAACGCATCGTCCCAAGTTTTCACTACGATTCTTTATCTTCTTAATAAGACAGAAGAGAATCTTTTAACAAAAGTTTCTCAAATTCTCTTATAAGAAAAAGCATATATTTCAAAAGTTTAAAAAATCAATTGTTAATAAATAATTCCTTAATCTTAAGAAAACTTTCAATTCTTATAAATTCATTCCTATAGAAAGAATTCTTTTAATAGTTTATCAAGGTATTAAAAAATTAACATCTTGCCAATGTTTTTGCCAATTTAAAAATAGTTGAAATCCCGATTCCCGAGAAATAAACCGAAATATTACGAGGGCAAGTGGTGCAACAAGTGCCGCAACTATTTCTTATCCTCGTATCTGAATGCCATTTGGATTGCGAGGGTATACAAGTTGGCGAAGATAGAAATCCGAGACCGACGCGTCCAGGATGGTTTCGGTCTTGGTAGTGTTAATCAAACTGGAAATCGGGAGAACTGTCCTATCGTGGAGATTTTCTAATTCGTCAACCTAGCTTTTCCTTAATTCTCCGCTAATACTGCCAAGGATAATGCAGAGAGTTTCCTCTCATGTGTTTTATTGCTCCACCGAATCTTAGCTGAGAAACGGTTTTCAAATAATTAGCAGATCGAATTAAATTAAATGTAATAATAAAATGTAATAATTGTATTATTAAAAAGATCAATGTTGCAATAGCAATAATTTATAATTGTCCTTTCTCTAAGCTAAATTTACCATTATCCGCAATGATAAAAATCATCTTCCAAATAATAAAACCATCTTTTTTTTTTTTTTCTAAATAAGAAGGTTAACAACGATTTATAATTTATATTACAGTATATTTAATATATTTTAGACTTTATGATGTTTCGATCGATCAGAAACTTAACGATACTTGCCTCTGTTCGAAGCAAACGCGTCAAGTAACAACTTTCAACTACCGATCATTGTTACGGTAAGGAGTGCAGTTTCATCCTGTGTGTGTGTGTCTGTATGTCTTTTAAAAGTCGATCGGCTATCGGTGCACCCCGTTTCGCTCGTAAATGACCACCTTTTGAAGCGAGGAATGAGCAGCGACGTTGGTTTCCGGACCATCAAGGTTGCATTGACGACAGTCAGCGAATAAAGAGCACGCGTGTTCCATGGAGAACGCGGTAGATTCTTCCCTCTCGTCGTTCGTTTTATATAGCGCTCCTTTTACGAGCGCTGCACTCGATTCTACAAGATTCCTGATCGGGACTTTGGACAATGTGCAGCGAAATCCAAGTTGGAGCAGCCGTGTTCTTCTGCAACTTAAATAAAAAGAAGAAAGAAAGAAGGAAGAAAAGAAGGGAATAATAGATGGAATTATCGTTCGATTCTCCGTGAATTTTCATGGGTATTGGACTTTTTGAAAGTTTTCAACAATTCTGCGGTATTCGTCTACGGATGTAAATTAAATTATTCTTCTTTTATTGATAAAGTAAAAAAAAAGAAAAGAGGAAGAAAAATAATTCGAAACTATCGTTTTCGTGAATAAATTACGAATAATTGGCAAGCTTCTTCAAAAAATTCAAAAGGTTGAAGCGTTAAGTAGTACATTTTTTTATTTCAATCGATAATTTAATTACGTTGCTTTCTTGAATCGTGGATTTTCAAGAAGATTATTTTCGATCGTCACGTATATACGACTGTTTCTCCAATCGAAAGTTTAATCGCTCGTCCAAGAACGAAGCGAGAAAGAATTTTCTCCCTCGCACTCGTGCGTTTTCAAAAATTAATCAAATTATCCCTCTCGCTACTTTGCCCTACCTTTAAAAAAAGAAGGAAATTAATCCTCCTTTTAAATTTTCCTCCGATCATTATTCCATCGAAAATTCTAATTCTAAAATAAATAAATAAATGTATATTTCATTTCGAGAGAAAAGGCACAACTTTCGACAACTTATTCTTAAAAAAAATTTACCCCTCCTCGCCGTTCGGGTCGAATTTCCCCCTCCTCCCTCCACTTCCTCTCCTCAAAGAGAAAAAAAAAAACAAAATAAAAGAAAAAATTAACCAGAGATGTGGAATCGACGTTTGCGTGGGAGAAGTCGTAATGCATTCGGCGTCATTATACCGCCATTACATGGTTCAATTTGTAACAGTGTAAAAACAAAATGAAAATCATCGGGAATAGGGGCGAGGAGAGGGCACGGTGTGCCGTCGCGCTATTGGTCGCCGTTAGGGGTGCCTGAACACTTCGTGGGTGGTTGGGAGCGACTATATAAAGCGTTTCACGGATCATGGTACATCGCAGTTGCTTTCACGTGTTGCTTCATCCGCGGTCATCTCGACAATATTTCCCTTTCTCGAAAACGTGCCCGAAAAAATCCTAGAAATCCTACCGTTTTCTCCTCCCCGCCCCCTCCCCTCCAACCCTCCTCGTTCTCCACTCTCGTCGGCGAACGAGCCTCCTC